CATCGCAAGCATTGCCTTAGTTGATTTCGCGCCCCACCCGGGCACTTGCACCCTTGCCGCATCCGGGCCCTGCGCTTCTCTATGCGCCACCATTGCCAGGACACAGGTGGGTAATTCGTGGGGTGCGTATTCGCCCTCTTGCTCCGCGCCCCCCCCCCCCTCGGTGCGGTTTTGATGTGACAACCCTCTGCCCTTCGGCTGCCCTTCCCCAGCGCGCCCTTCGATGTAGTGGCCCTCTTGCTTTCGCACCCGTGTGCGCTCGAGCCAACCTGGCTCTTCGGTCGCCTTGGGCATTCTGACTGTCTGGCCGTCTGGCGCCCCTGGGCCATCTTGATATCACTGCCATCTTGGCGATCGCGCCCGTCGTAGCCGTCATGACCACATATGCTTCCACTGCGTTTGTATCCACTTACGCGTTGCCCCCCTTCTAGAAGTGCATCACTTGTTCTGACCCCCATTCGCATTCGCCTCCTTTTACATTGGCCCGATGCTGCCCCCCCCCCCCCCACCCCCACCCCACCCCCACCCCCACCCCTTCCCGACCTCGTCGCGCGCGAACCCAGTTAGACGCATTCCCCCCTTCGCCCTGGCCCGTGCACCCCTTAGCGCAGAGCCATGACCCGAGAGGATGACAGGGGGCGCCCATGAGAGTTTGCAGGCGCGCCCGGCGATGGGATGGCCGTAATCAGTGGTGGGGGGCGGTGCGAGGATGGGGCGAGGTTAGGGGGGGGGGGGGTCAGAGCCGCGCCGCCCCCAGGTCGCCGTGCGCGGCAAGCCTCCCAAGTCCGTGAACAACCCCAACCACCCGCTGTACAAGCTGAATTTCGGGAAGCTCCCTGAGGCCAAGAATGACTTGCCTCAGGGCCAGGCGCGGACCCTCATGCCGCCAGGCGGGTATATTTGGCGTGCAAATACAACGGGGCGCTGGAGGTTTCATGTGCCAGGCCTTCGGTTTCAGGGCCAGGCAGCTTGCCAGGCCTTCGGTTTCAGGGCCAGGCAGCTTGGAGCCGTTTTGGCGGGGACTCGTACCTTGCCATGCTTGAGTGCGTCAGGAGGTCTTGGGCCAGGTACATAGAGTATCACCAGTTGCCCACAGCCCAATGCCCCATCGCAGGGCTTTTCGGGGCCGCAGCTTAATCCGTCTTCTAGGGTTCGAGGTGGTCGAACAGACAGGAGGGATTGTCGAGTGGGATGGGGGTCGGCCCGTTGGCGGCATGCTGCGGCGGCTGCCAGCCATTCTGAGACGTTTCTGGCAGCGGTGCACATAGGCTTGGCCGGGCGGGCGGCACTGCTTGGCGCCGAGCCGCGGCGACCGACTCGAATGCGCGGGGTGCTTCGATCGGAGGAAAAACACGACGTTGCTCTCGCTTTTTGTCCACGGGGAAGGGGTCACCTGTTCTCGATGTCTGCGGGGAGGAGGTTTGCACCATCGCTGGGTCCAGAGAGAGGCGGTCGGTGCCGTTCAGCAGCCCCGAGGGGTGTCCAGGTTTCGTTTGGGGGCGGGGTCGCACATGTATTGACGTTGCGTTTTTGCAGGGTCTCTGCTCAGGCAGGCCAGTTTTATGGGGGGCTCCCGCATCCTTGGCTTCCTCAGCGCCATCGGGCGCGCGACGGGCATCACATCTCGAGCGCCATGGCGGCGGTGCGCAACAACCTTGCGACTTGCCGCATCGATGTCAAGGAGCCGTTGCGCTCGGCGCCCAGATGAACCGCTCTAGCTATAGGAATTGACCTCTCTAATCGGCGTCGGCGGTGGCTTTCCGAGCGCCGCATTGGCTCGTCCAGAGTTTCAGGGGGAGCGGACAGCGTTTTGGGAACGCCGCGGCGGCCACTTGCATATGATCGCGGGGACAGGTTCGTTCCTCGTCAAGCCTGCCCTCCCTCCCCGTCCTCCACGCCCTTCCCCTTTCCCGACCTCTTGCATTCCTCCTCTCGGCCATCGGCCGTAGTCCGAGCACGCGGGTCGCCTGCCGCCCGCCCGCCCGTTGCCCCCCACCCCGCTCATTCTTATATATACCGCTGTTCGGGTGGGGGGTGCACCATCCGCGCCCCCGCCCCAATCCGCCGCAGGAGTACGAGAAGCAGGGCAAGCTCCAGATCTGCGCTCCGTGGGACTACGGCCAGTGCGTCGTCAGGGGCCCGAGCTGGGACACGTCGGGCTACGGGGGCGACTTGGACGGCGGCATTGGGCGTTTGGGCGTGACGCAGCGCCCGTCCATGAGCGACCTGAAGGACTGGGCCGCGATCATGCTCTGGGGCGACAAGATCGACTTCGGCCCGAGGGGCCAGTGCGCGAATTTCTGCGAGGCTGGGTGGTGGCCGAGTCGCTCGATCGCGTGCTTCTTCCCTTGCGCGGGGCAGACGGCGCCCCTGAAGGCGGACAACGGGGGGTGCTGGGACCTTCTGAAAGTGCGCGGCATGTCCCAGATCACCGTTGACCAGCGCGTATCTCAGATCTCGGGAGTCGTAGCCGACGTGGAGGAGGCATTGACCGCGCGGGCGCCGAATGAGGTCAAGCAGGCGCTCACGGGGGAGAAGCCTGCGAGCAAGCGCGATGTGGAATGGCTCATCGGCCATGTGGATGCTTGGGCCGAGCACGCCTGCGCGGCGGCGATGCACGCCGAGATCCAGTTGAAGTGCCCGAAGGCCTTGGAGTTGCGCAGCTGCGACCCCTTGAAGGCCGACCCGCGCCGCCCCTCCGCGAGTTTCTCTGGGTGGGTGGGTGGCGGGCAGGGCTGCGAGGCTCAGGGTGGTAGGAGGGTGGGATGGGGTTGCTGGGTTGACAAGTGCATTAGCAGGCTAGCAGGGCTGCGTTAGGGTGAGTAGGGGGCGCGGGCGGAGGCGGGTGATGGGGGGCGGCGATGTGCAAGATCATGGGGGCGAGGGGGGAGGCGGACGGGTGTGGGGACGAGGCGGAGGAAGGGGGGAATATACGATGCGGAGGGGGACGGAGGACGAGGACGGGGAGGAGAAAGAAGGAGTGCGGCATGTCTCGTCGCCGCTGCCGTTGCCGTCGTCGTCCATAGCCGTAGTTGTAGCCAGCCGTCGTTTCGAGATGTTCTTTGATCGTCGGTCGTCGTCGCCACCGCCGTGGGCCGTCTGCCGCTAGATGCGGGGGCGCAGTCGGAGGGCCGCGCGAGCCCCCTACCGCCCAGGCGCTGAACCAGAACAAGCGGAAGCGCAACAACCTGGAGCCAGCCGACCGCGCCAAGGGCCAGAGCAGCCGCAAGTAGATCGCTTATTCGGCGACAGAGCGGGATTGCCATCCGACCTCCGCGGCCGGCAACCTGCGCGCCCCGCTGACGAGCCAGTCGGCGCGCGGGTTGGCGGCGGCGGAGGTCGGCTGGCAATCGCGCTCCCAGGTGAAGGACATCCTCGGCCTGCTGACCAGCATTACCTGGCAGTAGGGGGCCGCGAGCTCCCTGCGCGGGGAGGGGGAGGGCGTGGAGGAGAGCGAGGGTAGAGGGATGTGCGGGGGGGGGCGCGGCGAGGAGGGGGAGGGCGAGGATGGGGCACGGAGCGGGATGGGGGAGGAGCAGGAAGGGAGGGCGGGTGCTTGAGGGAATCTGGAGGCGGCGGAGGGGAACTGAAGGGAAGAGAGGAGTGCGCGACGACGATGCCGATGACGACGGCAACGACGGCGACGACGACGACTCGACGACGACGACGACGCCATCGATGACGACGACGACGACGACGACGACGACTACGACGACGACGACGACTACGACGACGACGACGACGGCGGCGCTCGCACGCGCGCGGGGCGCCCGCGGCGAGACTCACCGCCCTGCGAGGTCGCTGACGAGCTCGCGCGGCGGTGTGGGGGAGAGAGAGATCACTCCTCCACCTTGCCCTCCCTGCCTCTTGCCTCTTCCATTTTCTCTCCCTCATTCTTCTCCTCTCGCTCCTCTGTCCCTGCTCGCTCTCCCCCTCCCTGCCCAGCCCTTCCCCGAACAATGTCTCTTGTGTTATGTTATCGTCATTCTCCTTTCTCCCCCATTCCCTCCCCCTCCTCTCCCCCATCCCTCCTGCAGGGGCTTTCCCAGTTGCGTCGGCTCGATGGTTGGTCGCTTTTGCTAGCGTCGGCTCGACATGTTATGTTGCCGTCGCCTCGCGGCGGGCCTAAACAGGGGGGTGGCCCAGGGCGGCGGGACCAGGGGCGAGGGTGGCTTGGAAGCTTATCGCTGATCAACCCACCCAGGGCCGACCGGCCCTATGGGGGGGTGGAGGGCGGCGCCGGTACGACTCTTTCGCCATCAGCTCAGCCACGCGCAGAGGCGGGTGAGGGGAGGGGAGAGGGCTTCTTAGAAGCACCCCTGTCTCTTATAAGGCGCAGGCCTTACCTATAGATGTAAGGCCGGCGCCTTCTAAGAAGCAGCCTCCTTCTAAGAAACCCTCCGCCCTCCCTCCACCCCCACGCCGAAATGAGCACTGGTTTGGGCTCAAGAGGGGCTCTGGTATTCGGGTCGCTCCTAAGATCTAGGATGGACAACTGTTCGTGTCCGAGGCTCGCCGTGGCCAAAAAAAACGCCTCCGTTCCTTGGCACGCGTTCCCTTATGGTAGCACGATGACTGCAGGGGAAGGGGGCGAGCCTGAAGCTGCTGCATGAAGCTGGTTCTGGCGCCCAGGCGCCTTCTCTTGATTCATTGGCGTTTCCTGGCGCTGGGGGGGGCGCCGGAGAACCAGCTGCGTGAGCTGGTTCGCTGACCGTTCGTCCGGCCCGAGACGGAGTTGGAAGACAAGACGAGAAGACAATAATTGTCCGGACCCGATTGCCCGGGAGCCCGCAGACGCGCCCGAGCGTCCCAGGACTGGGCCCAGGTCCTTCAGGACCCTTGTCCCCCATCACACGATCTACCCTCACCAGATTTGATGTTATCCTCGTCCTGGCTTCGTCTCAGGGGGGGGCAGCGCCCCTCCTGTCGGCGCCCAGCTGAGAGGGGCTGGGGGGATGGGCGCCTCGCCGCGTGGGCTCCTCGGCCGGCCCCGCGGAGAGGTCATGTTCCTAGACGACTGGGAGTTCCGCGACATCGTCGAGGAACACGGCGGGCCGGACGGGCCTGAAGACGGCCTCGAGGAGGCGCGCCGCGGGAAGGGGAGGTTCGCGGTTGTCAGGCCATCGCAAACATGCCTCAAAGGGCCACAGGCGCAGAGGGGAAGGCATCGGTCCCCGGTCGCTCGTCTATGGCCAATCATCGCCGGTCGTTGAAAGCAGGTATTCTTGGATGCCCCAGTGTCGCTCTATTTGGGGCGCCTTCCTGATTCAAGAGTGGAGTGGTCCTCCCGTTTCCCTCCCTTTCGGGGGGCGAGCGGCAGCCCAAGCTTCCTCCGACGCCTTCCTGATGCATGCTTCTACCTCTACCTCTTCCGAACGACGGGTACGAGCTCGATAGCCCGCCTCGCCCGGGGATGTGCGACTTCGCTCTTTCTCCTGCGGCCGATATCGGCGATGTATCGCAGATGCCGGGTCGACGCTTCCCCCTTGGAGCCGGTGCCCCCCTTGGACCGGCGGCGAGCGAGGGGGGGAAACGTGAGAAGGAGAATGCCTCCTCAGAAGGCGGCGGAGCTTCTCGGGAGCCTTCGCGCCTTCTGAGAAGTTGTCCGTCGCTTCGGGGGGGGCTCAGAAAACGTCCCAGAAGGCCGGGGGGTCTCCGAGCCTTCTGAGAGGGCCTGCCCTTTCTTCTACCCGCCCCCCTGGCCCGCCGCCGACTAACATTCCCCCTTCAGGGGTACGCGGGATAGGAGGAGGAGGAATCAAAAGAGGAGCAGCAGCAGCCGCAGGGGGCGGACGAGGAGGGAGGGACGGGAGAGCGCGTAGATGGAGCCTGCGGCCGTCCACTGGCCACTGCCAGCGCTAGCTGCCGCCCAGGACGATCGAAATGGGTACGGAAAGATGGGTACAAAGACCTAGAGCATTGTCTGCTCATTTTGAACAGGATTTATTGTCGGTGTCGACGCGGACCTTGTCCACTAGATGAAGGCCGCCTTTCCAACAGCGGCCGCTGTCGGTGTTGGACAGCATTTCTTGTTGAGTATCGTACCCATTTCTTCCGTACTCATTTCGGGCGTCCATAGCCGCCACTGACCTTTCGTAGCCTCTGGACCCTTTGGCCCATGTGCCGCGATTGCCCCAGTTGCCGCCACCGCCTGTTGTCCACTTGTGCTTTTCTGTGTGTGCTACTGCCGCCTCTCTGGCCACCACGCCGCGGTTGGGTTCTTCTTGTTGCCTTTCGGTCGTGTGCGTCTCGCGTATCCTTCCGCGTTATCCGCGGTTCCCCCGTTGCGCTACAGCTTCTCGCGGTAACCACAGCACAGGGTGCGCGTAAGTGCCTCATCTGTTCGTCATGTGTTTTCCGTTTAGCCCTGCCGACTACAAGACGTACAATTAATTCTTTGGTTGCCGCCTTCGCATTGTTTCTCGGGATCGGGGTGTCCTTGACTACGCTGGATTCGGTTCGTGCCTATCCCCTGCGACCATGTGTACCCCCAAATCTCAGTGATTCAATCGCCGCCAGTTACGGTGCCGGATGCATCTGTGCCCCGTCGATTGGTGTCTCATCGGGTCGTCGCGAAGATATACGATACACATTACCCAGTTGTGCATACGTATTTTCAAAGTCTGTGTATGTGTACATATGGGTATATGTCGGAGGTCGGGGGGTGAGTCCGACGTGAAACGGAGACCCCCCCTACCGGGAAATCGATTTCGGTTTCGTGTTCGTGTCGGGCGTGCCGTGCGTGCGTGCGTGCGTGCGGGCGAGGCGAAGCTGCGTGGGCGGGCGAAAGGAAATCTTCATGTGGCGCGACCGCGGCCGGACCAAATGATTCTCCTCCGTCGGCCGGTGGCCCGCGGTGTCCCGCCTGTGTCCCGCTGGTGTCCCGAAATCCTCCTGTGGCGCGACCGCGGCCGGACCAAATGATTCTCCTCCGGCGGCCGGTGGCCCGCGGTGTCCCGCCGGTGTCCCGTGGTGTCCCGTGATGTCCCGTGGTGTCCAATGATTCTCCCCCGCCCGCCCGTCCGGCGGTCGCCCGCGGTGTCCGCGGTGTCCCGTGGTGTCCCGTGGTGTCCGCCGTTGCTAGGGCGAAGCCGAGATAAATGATTCTCCCCCGCCCGCCTTTCCGTCCGTCCGGCGGTGTCCCGCGGTGTCCCGTGGTGTCCCGTGGTGTCCCGTGGAGTGAGATCGATACTGAGATCGATAGTGAGACCGATAGTGAGATCGAGAGGTGTCCCGCGGTGTCCCGTGGTGTCCCGTAGTGGCCCGTGGTGTCCCGTGGTGTCCCGTTGAGTGAGATCGATAGTGAGATCGATAGTGAGATCCTCATGGGGCCTCCTGGGGGTCTCTTGGAGCGGACGGCTCGGATTTTCGGTTCGAGTTCCCTCTCTTGGGCCCATTTTGGGACCGTGTTGGGCACTTCTTGGGCCGTTTTGGGCACTTCTTCGGCTGTCTTGGGGGCCTCTTGGGCAGTTGAGGGGCCCCCTTGGAGGCTTCTTGGGCCGTCTTGGAGCGGTCTTGGGGGCCCCTAGGGCCGTCTGGGAGCCGCGGGAAGCCGAACAGGCGAGGACGCCAAACTCGTTCACACACCAGAGGACAATCAATGATTTTGGCCTCTTGGGGTCCTCTTGGGAGTCCTCTTGGGGTCCTCGTTGGGCGTCTTGGAGGCCTCTTGGGCTTTCTTGAGCGTCTTGGAGCGATCGTTCGGCGATTCGGGGCTCTCTTGTAGTCCCTTCTCAGACGGCTCAGAAGTCCCCAAGCCTTCTGAGAAGTGTTCTGAGCCTTCCCCGTCGACATAGAAAACTTCTGAGAAGGCGCGAGTGCTTCTGAGAAGCCCCGCCGCCTTCTGAAAAGGGCCTTCTCCTTCTCGCTCCCCCCCTCGCTCGCCGCCGATGAAGGCTTGATCGGTGGTCCTCCTCCTCAGAAGGCTCCTGCTGCTGCTTCTGCTGCTCGCCACCTCCTGCTCCCTGTGCTCACCCTGCTCGCTCCCTCCTCCTTCTCCTCCTCCTCCTCCTCCTCCTCCTCCTCCTCCCTCTCCCCCTCCTCCTCCCCCTCCTCCCTCCATCCTCCTCCTCCTCATCCTCCTCCCTCCTTCCTCCTCCTCCTCCTTCTTCCTCCCTCCTCCCTCCTCCTCCCTCCTCCTCCTCCTCCTCCTCTCTCCCCTCCTCCTCCTCCTCCTCCTCCTCCCTCCTCCTCCTCCTCCCTCTCCTCCTCCCCCTCCTCCCTCCTCCTCCTCCTCATCCTCCTTCCTCCTCCTTCCTCCTCCTCCCTCCTCCCTCCTCCTCCTCCTCCTCCTCCTTCTCCTCCTTCTCCTCCTTCTCCTCCTCCTCCTCCTCCTCCCTGTGCCCCCCAGAGGCGAGCGACTCCGTCACGCTCTCGGCCAGGGGTGCGCCACGGCTGGGGAGCACGACGGAGTTCTCCACGGATGGGCCTGGTGCGTGCGCCCCTCGCGCGTGGTGTGAGAGGAGGGCTCGGCGAACCAGAATCGGCGGCGAGCGAGGCGGGGACGTGAGATAGACACGGCCTTCTCAGAACGCGGCGGGACTTCTCAGAAGCCCTCTGGTCTTCTGGTAAGTCTTCCGTGTCTTCAGGGAAAACTTACGTAGGCCGGAGGACTTTCGAGCCTTCTGAGAAGGCCTTCTCCTTCTCACTTCCCCTCCAGGCTCGCCGCCGAGATGATCATCCCGAGGAGGAAGAGGGGACGAGGAGAAAAAGGATAGGAGTACGAGGATGGGCAGAGGAGGAAGAGGAGGGCGAGGACTGGAAGACTCCAAACAGCATGATTGCATAGTACAAGAAGCATTGCCTTCAACTGCGCATTCAGAGACCATGCGGGAGATTCCATGCGGGAGACCGCACGGAAGATCACCCGGGAGACCATATGGCAGACCATATGGGAGACCGTAGTGTGAGAGATTATCGGAGATTGGGGGGTGAGATCGCAGTGGAACGGAGACCCCCAACCGGGAAATCGTTTCGTTTCGTTCGTGTCGTGCGTGCGGGCGAGGCGAAGTTGCGTGGGCGCGCGAGAGGAATGAACCCGCCCCTGCTAGGGCGAAGTCAAGACAACTGATTCTCCCCCGTCCGTTCGTCCGTCCGTCTGGCAGTGACTCGCTGTGTCCCGCGGTGTCCCGAGGCGTCCCGTGATGTCCGCCGTTGCTAGGGCGAAGTCAAGACAAATGATTCTCCCCCACCCGCCCGTCCGTCCGTCCATCCAGCGGTGGCTCGCGGTGTCCCGCGGTGTCCCGTGGTGTCCCGTGGTGTCCCGTTGAATGAGATCGATAGTGAGATCGATAGTGAGATCGATGTGGTGCCCCGAGGCGTCCCGTGGTGTTCCAAAAAGTGATATCGATAGTGAGATCGACAGGTGTCCCGTGGTCTCCCGTGGTGTCCCGTTGAGTGAGATCGATACTGGGATCGATGTGGTGCCCCGAGGTGTCCCGTAGTCTTCCAAAAGTGAGATCGATAGTGAGATCGACAGGTGTCCCTTGGTGTACCGTTGAGTGAGATCGATAGTGAGATCGATAGTGAGATCGATGTGGTGTCCCGTGGTGTCCTATGGTGTACCGTTGAGTGAGATCGATAGTGAGACCGAGATCGTGAGATCGAGAGGTGTCCCGCGGTGTCCCGTGGTGTCCCGTAGTGGCCCGTGGTGTCCGGTGGTGTCCCGTTGAGTGCGATCGACAGTGAGATCGATTGAGTCAGATGTCGGTGCCCCCCCCTCTCCCCCCCCACACACAACTTCCTTCTCACCCGAAGGGTGGTCCTGTAGGCATGCGATGTACCAGACGGGAGACCATGCAGAAGACCAGACAGGAGGCCATTCGGGAGAGACCACTGGCCACGAATAACCCACTCCAGATGAGACCACACGCATCTGTTATCTGTACATACACTCATATATAAGTATACATTTATATGCATACACAGGTCTATACATACACACATATACAAATACATACACATATCTATATCTATACATACGCATATCTATATCTGTACATACACACATGTATATAAAAATATGTCGCGGAGGTGGGGGTTGAGATCCCAACGAAACGGAGGGCCTCC